ATCCTGGGCCTCCATAACACCTCAGCAGTGCCACAGGCTGATTGCCTTCATGCCACGCCGCATTGAAGCAGTCATTCATGCAAAAGGATTCCCGACCAAGTATTGAGTGCATAACTGAACATGATTATTTGAAGGTTGGTGTTTTTTGTATTAAAAACACTTGTCTTTCTTTGGTGGGATGAAATATGCTAATTTTTTGGGACAGGCATTTTGGGTTTCATGAGCTGTATTACATAATCATCAGTATTAAAACAATTAAAGACCTGAAATATTTCAGTTGGTGTGCAATGAATCTGAAATATATGAAAGTTTCATTTTTATCATTTCATTATGGAAAATAATGACCTTTATCACAATATGCTAGTTTTTTGAGAAGGACCTGTATACACGTAGGCTCTCACACTGGTTCAGTTTCATCTTTAAATCACTCCTTGGTCTGCTGCCTTCTTATGTCTCCTCCCACTTGTCACGTTGTCAGTGCAGCTACAGCGTGCGTTCTCAGGACATCATTACCTGCAGCGTTCCCTAAGTGCAGACTGAAATAGACAAAAAGGCCTTTTCCTACTCTGCTCCTGTAACCTGGAACACCTTGTTCTGAAGTTTTCCACCTTTATTTCTTTAAGGAGTTTCAAACATTTGATAAGGTCAATAGAAACATCAAAGCAAGTATGTTCTTGTTTTAGTATTTTACCTTGTTTTACGGCACCTCGATTTATTATTTTATAACGCTACTTTTGTTTTAATTGCATTTTACTGTAGCGTATTGTTGTCTGTACTTTATATGTTGTCTGTCTAAAACAGGTCCCTCTAGTAAATGAGTCCACGTGACTCAATGTGACGAACCTGTATAAACAAAGGTTGAATGAATGAATGACCCATTCCAGTTTAAATTATCTCCTCTCTATTTGACTGCAGGTATGCAAAATAAATAATCAGAATAAATGACAGTCTGCCTTTGATTACATTGCAATGCTTCAGTCATGCTTGCAAGTGTCTTTTCAGTACAAAAGGTCAGAGTGTATCTGTATGTCCAACGTTTTGTTATTGTTTAATTTGAACCAGCAATAATTTACAGCCAGATGACTGCAGGTAGAGCATCATTAACAGCTGGGCTAAGTGAAGGTCTGAGGTACGTTAAAAACTGGTGATCACTTGGAGTGATAATGATTTGTAGTGATTTCTTACACAACATGCCAGTTCAGAGGTTTTACAGCTCAGATGAAGTTCCATTAAAGATGTGCTTACATAGAAATGCTTTTTCTTTTTTTTTCTGAAGTGATCTTTTTAGTTGTTTCAAAAATATTTTGTAAACACAACACCTTTCTGGAACCTTTTTCTCTACATAGAAATACTGAAAATGACCCAAAATACCGTAAGTGTTGCACAAAATACACAAACATGTGAAACTAGGTGTGGAACATACACACAAAGCTTACACACTGGCTGTGAATTGTAAACACAAGATGAGATTGTTGTTGGATTGTAGTTTAGATTAGATGTGGGGCTATGACATGGATTTCTAAATGTTGTGCTTTGGCTGTCTACATGAAAATACTAGGAGGACACTTTATTTTTCACTCTGGAAACAGTTTTTGAAAAACTTTGTTTCAAGGCTCTTAAAAATCTGTTTCCGTATTGAAAAACATTTGCGTATTGATAATAGGGATGCATGGATCCACTTTTTTCACTTCCAATCCGATACCGATATATGCGGTTTAGTATCGGCAGATACCGATCCGATACCGATAGTATATATGAAGTAGCTTAGTGTGTGTTTTATATTAGAATTAGAAAAATTAGAGAGTTATTCGTTTTGTTCTGTTACTTGAAAATTATTATGATTGAAATAATTGTTTGAAAAAAGTGGCAGATATAATAAGATTTTTTCTTCTTTCTGTTGCCTTTCATTTTAAATTCTTGTATCGTTTTTATATTGTTATGGAATTGTTTTGTACCTTTTTTTAAATGAATAAACTTTATACCATACCATACCACACCGATCTGATACAGAAAAACAGTGCTGAATTAACAAAAATGGCTAAATTATGTCATCTGGACCCGTTTCTGAAATGGGTCCAGCCATTTTTGTTGTCTACCTGGATGTTTGAGCTTACAAACCCAGTGCTGAATTAACTTAAAACATTTGTTTTGTTAAACGCAGGCATGAATGTACTGAATTACAAATTTATTGAAAACTGCACCATAACAGCACACTTAAACACACCGAGCTTCACAAGCTTGGCTAAACATGTAAAAACAACACAACTTTAAATTGTTCTGTCAGTGCGCTAGTGCATGACATCACTCAGAGCACAAAGCACAGAATTAGAGTGAATATATCTGCCCAGTCATGGATCGGTCACATTGTCATGATACCTGATCCAGAAGTTTTTCGATATCAGTACGATGCCGATATTGGTATCGGATCGGTGCATCTCTAAATAAGACAAGATAAGATGGAACTTTATTGATCCCACTGAACCCCTCACTGCCTCCGATGTGTTTCCCATCATTGTTTGAATGTGATAAAAGCACTGATTAGTCTCTTTAGAATGATTTGTTCAATTAGCTTTGTAGCGATATAATAGTGTGCTGTATGAATGGGTAAATAAGTACACAGATTGTAGTGTAAAGCGCTTTGAGTATCTCAGTACGATAAAAAGGCGCTAAATACTGTATATACTGTGTGTGTGTATATATATATATATACATATATATATGTATATATATATATATATATATATATATATATATATCTAGCAGCACGGTGGCGCAACTGGTAGAGCTGCTGCCTCTCAGCGAGCAGGTCCTTGGTTCAAACCCCGGTCCAGGGGCCTTTCTGGGTGGAGTTTGCATGTTCTCTCTGTGCATGCGTGGGTTTTCTCCGGGTACTCCGGTTTCCTCCCACAGTCCAAAAACATGCATGTTAGGCTGATTGGTAACTCTAAATTGTCCCTAGGTGTGAGTGAGAGAATGAATGTTTGTTTGTCTCTATGTGGCCCTGTGATGGACTTGCGACCCGTCCAGGGTGTACCCCGCCCCTCGCACAGTGATTGCTGGACATGGGCACCAGTGACCCCCGTGACCCAAAATGGAATAAACGGGTAAAGATAATGGATGGATGGATGGATATATATGATATATAAAGGTGTTTTAAACCCTTCCCACACTCTTGCAATATTCTA